CAAAATTTCGTCATTGGTCTTCATGAAGATTATTGCTAACGCAATTGTCGCACCAGCTGTGGCTCGATCTAGTATGTGCGCAAGGTCCACGTTCTTGGTGCCCACAGCCACAGCTAGCAGTCGCTCCACAATGTGCATGTCGCGCATACCACGAAGGTCTTTCCCTTTGCCGAGGTTGATGAAGCCCAGTGCCAACCCGGCTGCAAGACGGTACCCTTCGTCCCGCAGATCATCGTGAGCTGGGCTACTTTCCTCCTGCTCCACGTTCTCAATTTCTGACAACATGACTTCGCTCATACGTCGGTGCTGTGAGCCGCAATACAGCAGGCCAATCCCCATGATCCCGGCCGTTTGGGTCAGTGGCGATAGATTGAGCTCAGCTGCACCCATTGGCAGCATCCGTGTAACATGAACGGAAAGAAGGCGGGTAATAAGGGTGTCCATTGTTCCCAGGTAAGAGGCCGAAAGGCCAAGCAGCAAGCCAATCGATGTCATCGTATGTTTGGGGGTCAAATACTTGAAAGCCACCCACTTAGCTAGCGACTTAAGATGGCCGTTGAGGCCCAACGCCAGAAGGAAGCCGGCATGTCGGTTGGTAAGCTCCTGTGGCTTGTTGAAGAGGATCCAAGAGGTATCAATGCCCTTTGAATTCCTCGAAATAGCCAGGCCCGTGGACACCCCGTTATGGAAGAAGGCCCAACACACCTTCTCCTCACTGAAGGAGGCTCGGTCCGCGCTGATCGTTACATTCGATGGTTTCATAACACATTGCAATGAAAAGGAAGGAATAGGAAGTTTCTCGGTGAGGAGAGGCAGGCGACCGCTGAAGGCCAACATGGCGCGCCCAGTTGGGATAGAAAGCGTACGCAGGGTCACTAGTTGCACTACTTCTTTCTGCGCCTCCAGCAAATCCGAATCGGTCCACTCTGGCTCGGGTACACATTCAGCCACCGGAGCCTTGGACTGATTTAGCAACCGTGTCGCTTCAATGAAACGCTTATCTTCGCGGAAGATCAACCTTGTCACGGACAGCCGATCTGCCTCTGCAGATACCTCGAAAGAATTGGTTGCATCGATATCCAGAGCAGAAACACCAATGTGATGAACGTCGCGTACTGCTTCATGCGACATTGCAGGCTGCAGCGGTGCGGGCGCAGGCGGTGGTCCCGAATTGTTCCCACCTAGGGAGATACTGAGGTCTTCGCGATCGATGAGCTGGAGCAGCGCCGAGCCCCAGGAGGTCGAGGCGTGTATCTGTGATCGTAAGATAGTTTCGTATAAGGGAGTGCTGACACCTTCCGGGAAGGTCTCGATGATGTTCTTTGTGAACCCCCAGCGATAGAGAAGCTGGACCCGGTCCAGTGGCGTCGAGCAGGAGTGTACCTCTGATAAGAAACCATCTAGTGCCAATGTTCGCGGGGTGAGTGCGTAGCATTCTTGCCACAGGCGACCCTTCTTTGGAGACCGATCAGAACCGATAACAAGGTTCAAGAGTGTGAAGAAAGACCCAGTGGTTCCACTCCATGCCTTTTCGAGATGCAAAAAGATCGAAGGAGGGGCGAACGGCTCGTCAGGGACGTCTAGCTTGGTTATACGCGTGTCTTCGAATTCCCAACGATCCATACTAGCCATTTCCGTTCCGAAATAAGTGTCGTCTGCCCAGGTCCAGGACGTCCATCCAAGCCAGCCACCGATCTGGGCTAGGACAGGAGCAAGAAGGCCCAGAGGTTTATGCGACTGTTCGCTATCGCAAATCGACAGCTTATGCTCTTCCCGAAGCAGGTGCAACGCCACTAGAATCGTACACAATGCCGTACTTCGCAAGCTTTGGCTAAATGACAGCGCTGTAGGTAAAGTCCCCTCTGAACCCATAACGGAAACGCCCTGCGGATTATGCAGAAACTCTCTAGCCAGAGCGATGCAACGAGTGAGGTAGGTGTTCCGACGATAGGTGGACTGGCTTGAAGGGGCTGGCGCGCCTTGGCTGAGTTCGCTGTCCTGTGCGTCTTGCTCTACAACCCAGCCCCAAGAGCTGGTGTTCATCCATGATGCCACCACACCAGCAGAGCCAGACTCCTGGTCCAGCATCGCCTCCCAACTCTCCGAATCAATGTATGTTCCGCTGCTTGACCGCAATAGCCCCTTCTTTCGTCGCGTGGGCCTGACTGAGTTTCTTGGCGGCTTGCTTTCAATAAAAGGAATCGCCATTGAGAACAGGACTAGAACCATAGCTGTCCACTCCAAATCATCGTCGTCGATATCTCGCCCCTGGAGCCATTTCATTACCTCCCACCAGGTTGACAGAATCCCGTCACCTGCCTTTTCAGAATCTGGTAATGCGAACCGGCACATCTTGAAGACATTCTTCACCAACTCATTGCTAGGCTCCATTTTGATTTGAAGTTTATGTCGACGATTAGCCGAGTCGATGACATCAAACTTCCCTCGCACAGCTGGATGATCGAGCCCAACGATGGCAATCAACGAATCTGTCATTAAGCGTCTGACGCCGCTTTCTCTTCGACGACTTCCAGGAACGTTTAAGTAGATTCCGTATGCTTCGTGCAACATGAGGTTACGCGGCACTTCGACCGCCTGCGGTGTACCAGACGGAGTTTGGAGATGCAAAACGCCTTGGCCATAATCGCCTGTTCTTACGGTCATGAGTCTCGATATACCGCCATCAGTCACCTTGCAAGCATCCCAGACGTCTGGAAAATGCTGCACGCCTGAGGCTTGGACAAGTAGCGAGCGCTCATTCGACGCGGCACCCTTCTTAGACTTCTTGGTGAACATGCCTCCATCTTTCTTCGGGATAGCAACACGATCAACTCGAAGGTTGACGACAGTCATAGACCTTGCCTCGTGATCCACTAAGCAGAGAGCCAAGGCTGCTGAGTTGCCATCCTGTGCATTTCCGAACTCTGACGGAGAGATCGTAACGATCTTCGGTCGTCGTGAGGATGACTTGAACCTCAACGGGGTATGGAAGGGGCCTGAGAATTTGGAAGAGAAGCTCTCAACCTTGGTTAGGAGTACTTCTTCTGGAAGCCCCGAGGCCGAATCTTTCAGATCCATGTTTTCAAATCCTTCGAAGAGACTTTCATTATTGAGTTCTTCCAGAAGCCTATCCACCGGCGCATCAATGAAGCTGCTCGTAGTACTGTAAACTGAACCGTTGCCGGGTGGCAAGGAGCCCCTCGGATTGAACCCGAAACTCCCCCGAGTGCTACCAGCACCAATGGACTGCCGGAAGTTCCCGTGAGGCATGGAGTTTGATTGACTGCCTGTCGCCAAATCTGAGAATGTGATTCTATCCTGGCTGGATGCCAGGTCCGCTCGTGCCAATAGAGAACTCACGCGTCGGGAGGTCTTCAGTGGCACCCCGATATCTCCGAAGTCCTGGCCCAATTTCGAGGCTAGGTCGTCCTCGTCTGGCCTGCCGTCCGTGGAGTACTGTGACAGGGACAGACCGGATGTGTTCCACGCATCACCCCTGGGACCGAAACTTTCTCTCGCACCTGACGGGCGGGCAGCAGGGGTGGTCGATCCAGTAGTCATTCCGAAGTGGGAGCTCCGTCTTTTGGATCGAGTCCCACCTGTGTCTCGTCTCTTGTCCTTTTTCTTCTTGGAAGCTGGCGCGAACTCATCTTCTCGATAGCGTGCTGTCCAGATAGTATAGAGGCCTGTATTGATGTTGGAAGTGACCACGAGTATCAGAGGCCCATTGGCCAAAGATCGACTCAGCCCCGATAGCTCATCTCTAGGAGATACATAGACAATCTCGTCGGCAGAGTCGAGGACATCCAAGCCCGAAGGTCGGGTATTAACACTTGTATGTAACCACCGAGACGATTGTTTGGTAACCACCAGGCCCATCTCCGAATGGGGATCCATGAGTGAGAAGACGCGGGGCAGCTCCGCTTGTTTGTTGTTGCGAGGCCGTAAACCGGGGTTTTGGGCAGGTGATATTGTCAACGATGGACGACTTTTTCTGCCTGAGGGGATCTCAAGCGTTAGTGACGCTCGGAAGTCGGGCAAGTTTGATACGAAGGAATTCGGAGGAGCCATTGGAAGAGGACTCGTAGCTTCCTCCTCGAGTACTTTTCGCTGGAACAGCAAGCCTCGGGGAGTGGCAAAGACCGAGTCAACTTCGAATGGAAGAGGGACGACATGGCTATTTCCAGTTAAGAAGAAGATATGAGCCTGGGACTTGAGTACCACCACTAATGCGCGCGAAACATTGCCCGACTGGAGTCCATCTGGCCTTGCAGCTGTCCCATCTCGCTGGTCAATCTTCCGCTTCGTGTTGGAATGTTTCCGTTGTTGGTGGCCTGTGTCAACATGAGATTCGCTGGAGTCTCGAGAGCCGCCAAGGGCATTGTTGATGGACGCACGATCGGCGGCCTTTGTCACTTTCGAGAGACTTGCTTCAGCGCGTTTAATCTTTCCCGCGGAGAAATTAGCCAGCAAGGCATGCCGAATATCTTCCTTCTCGAGATCTAAGCGGAAGATTCTCTTCACCACCCCGGCTCGCGACCAAACTGCGCAACTCTTGGTCCATACGATCTCATCTTCAACCGGACCGTTGGAATCTTCATCGACACTGGTGGACCACTTGTAGAGGTCTTCGGATGGATCGGGGGGGAGGAGACCTTCGGCGACAAGGAAGGCGACAGCCGCAGGTTCGTGAAGACCGAGAGACCGCACGGCAGCCATTATCGGCGGCGCAAATGGTTGTCGTTGGGTGTAGCGGATGAAGAAGGTCTGGCAAACGGAGCCAGAAACAGGGTCATGTCCATTGTCGTCCCGGCATGTGTCAGTAAGAGAAGAGAGGAATCCCACACCAGAATCGAGGAATTGTTTGGCAGGGGTGGAAGGGAGATTGTGTAGTAAGTCAAGTAAGTAAGTAAGTATACAAAAGAGGGACGCGCTGGACGCGGCAGCGGGACTGAAAGTTGATCTCCTCCTCTTCCTCCTCCGCCTTTTCCTCCCCCGACAAAAACATTGAACCCGCACGTCTGCATTCCTCTCTATCCCACCCTCTCTCCCACTCCTCTCTCGCTTCTTTGACCCCCTCACCCTTCCTACTATTGGAGTCTTTTTCTCGGGAATGGTGGTTGTCAGTCTCCTGGACTAGAGATCCAGCAGCTTCGTGCCAAATCAGCTCCTCCAACAAAAGCTAAGCTTCAAAGTCTGCCCACCTCTCAGCTTCGCATTCCATCACAAACCCACAAACCACCCCTCCAAGACATCTCTAGACCATGCCGTCGTTCCCATCGAAGCCTCTGGTCAGACCCAGAGATGACGGCGGCTTACAATTAAGGTAAGTTTTGTCTTGAGCTAAGAAAAAGAAACAAAGACTACCTGAATTGACCGTGACTGCTCCTCCCCCTCTAGTTATCAGCTCCCCCATCGTGTTCATACGGCAGCCGGCTACCCCCTTGTTGCCCCCAATGGCTCATCGATCATCATTTATGGCTACGAGACGGGCCTAAAGGTGGTTTGGCGAGGAGGGAAACCTTTCGCCACGGAGAAAGCTCCCGTTGCCTCGGCAGATAAGCTCCAGAAGCCCGCTCCACCACCGAGTGACGACGCTGTCATGATCATTGATTCCGACGACGAGAGCGTCGCAGAGATTCAATCGTCAATCTCCAAAGAAGAACCCAAAGCTCGGTTTGAGGAAGAAGAGCCCGAAGTGGATCCTGCTTATCCTTATGAACGCATCCTGCGCCAGGTCGACATCCCTTTGGGTAGCAGGGTTCTTCATCTGGCAGTACCTTGCATTCTACCTGAAGCGGCTCGCTCATCACTTGACCCATTTCCTCCCACCTTAAAAGACCTCGTTGTAATTGCTGCCGTCTGTGCAGACTACTCTACGCGCGTGGTGACCATACCCTTGACTCCCCCTCACCCCAACCAGACCAAGATTGGGGTCCAAACCATTTCCATCAGCGGCGGAGTGTCTCATCAAGAACTTCCTCGCGGTGTCAGCGTTACGTTCACGTACCAAGAGACCGAGAACAAGGAGCGGACTTCATCCCGCGGCCAACAGCATGCTCCCGGACGGTGGGACCTTCTCGTCGCCACCCATTCCGCAGAGTCGGCGGGGCTGCTATTAATTCACCGGATCCCGATTGCAGAGGGGCATCAGCTCTGTGACGATGCGATCGAGACTAAACGACGATACCTCCCGGCTCCGGCCACGAACATCTCATTCAACCCATCTGGCTACCCCACGCCGCGCCACTCTACATTGCTTGTCGCTTTCCATAGCGGCTGTGTCAAAATTTACTCATGTTTTGCTACGAAGCGATCCAAGGCCTCGCGCAGGTCCTCCGGCGTGCAAAGCGATTTTGAGACCTCCCAGACGGAAGGAAGGTGGCACATCAGTCTTTACCCTGGATTCGAACAGAGCGTTTCGGGACTCACGCGGCGCAAGACTGTAATCAGCGCGGAATGGGTACTTGGAGGACGAGCGATTATGGTCCTGATGTCGGACGGAGAATGGGGGGTTTGGGACATCGAAGGTACCGGCCCCGGAAACATCAAGGGTCCGCTTGAGCGTCAAGCCAGTGTGCAGGGCGTGACCGGCGGCTCTCTGACGACCTTTTCTGTCAGCGGACGGCTTCTGAGCCCACTCCCGAGCGGTCATCACTCCGAGGCTAGCGGTCCTTCTTTCGAACATCGACCCAGGTTCGCACCCCTCACACCGTCAACCAAACGTTTACGGGAGGATACGTTGTTGAAAGGCGGCTCGGCCGGCACCACCAACTCGTCGCTGTGCGGAGGCATCTCCGTGTATCAAACGAATACATGGAGAGACCCCATGCCAGATGAGGCTATCCTACTACGATACGGTAACCAGACCGCCGTTATCTCTAGTTTGTTGTCCTTGTGGCGCAATGCCATCAAGGCTACTGGCACGTTTGATCCGTCCAACCGCTGCCGGGTGTCCACCCTCCAGGACGTCACCTTCATGGGTGAGCGCCTCAAAGGGATCGGCCATCTCCCCGTAGCCGCCAGTCGCACACGCGGCTCCGAAGAGCCGCCATTCGACTTGATTCTCACAGCCGAACATCGCATTCTGATCCTTGCGCCGAAAGTGGCTGAGCCCGAGACCATCCCCGTCGGCACCATGACCGTTGCTGGGGTCACTTCCTCTGAGACCGATCAGCAGCGTCTGCACAAGGGTGAACTGGACGTGGACGGGATGGACCGACTTCTGAGCGGTATGGCGAGCGCCAAACGGTCGATCGGCATGGGGAGCCCAATCAAGCGCCTCCGCAACTTCACCTGAACTGCACCAAGCAACCTCGAATAAAGACCTTGCAATGTCCTGTGCAATGCGACTGTGATTTGAAGCAGGCGTGTGACTGTCCGCGACGCCCTTAGGACCGCCCCCTTCACCAAACCGCACCTCCCATCCGGTCAAGACGGCCAAACAGATAGGATGACCAAGATACCCAATACTTACACGTTCACATTTTTCGGGACTTTTTACCGTATCCTTCATTCATTCCCATCACCTTACCCCTCCCCCTCACCCTCCTTCCAATATTGCCCATATCGTAGCCCACCACAAACTTCCGCACTGCAAGGTGGAGCGCAAGGCGAGATCAATACCTTGAAATCCCTCTTCTCCTCCGGAGACAAGGGATAAGCTCTGTATCTGACGCGGTATATCAACAACCCATCCATTTTTTTCTCGTCACATCCTCTTATCAAAAGCGGGTTCACGAGAAAAAAAAAACCCCCTCCCTTCCCTACCGCCGCAGGTCAGTCGGGGTTCTCGGATGCCTGGCGTGCTCTCTCCAACGCATTCGAGAATCACGAACCGTCCCTCCCCCCGTGACTCCCTTATCCAGAAAGAGTGGCCAACTCCGCTCCCATTCCCGCTTTCCCCCGTGGTTGATATCGATCTTTGTCTCCCTTTCTGTAGGTTTACCTATGCTGGACTTCCTCGTTGAGGAGGTGTTAGGACAGGTAGGCCGGTGGATGGGATTGGATCACGGTGAGGGGTAGTAGGAGTCCATCTTGCTTCTCCGCCACTTGTGAAAGACAAACTCCTACATCGATAGCAATTCTGGAGGAAGAAGGGGTCGTGGCTGGATTTGGACGGGTTGGGGTGGGAGTTTGGTGGTAGGTGGGCGGATGGGAACATCCATTGTAGTGGAGATTGATTATCTGCAATTGTGATGTGGAGTCAGTGGTCAGTAGTCAGTACATCGTGGTGTACAGTAGATGGCTAGATATTGAGCGATATTGCTTGAATCCCATCTGATCGATCAATACTTACATCGGATATATTGTATGTACTGTACACATGTTTTTCTGAGTGAACATGTGATTTACATACTTCACAAACAACCCTCTTCTACCGGGATTTCTGACTTGTTACAGTATTCATCGGTCGTCACAAATCAGCGCATGCATTTGCCAGGTATTCAGACCCCCTCATCGATGAGCCTAAAAACCTGCAAGAAAGAAAGTAATCAATGGTCTAATAGGTAGTATATTTTTTCTCTCTCCTAATCACCCCATCTATATATACAATACATTTAGACCCTATAGATAGATAGTATAGTATGCTTGAGCCCCTCAGTTAATTCCAATGATGCAAGCAGCACAAGAAAACGAACACATCAGATCGGCGAAGATGATTTCACCACATGCAGCGGGGATAAATAGCCACAAGGAACTATATGTACAAGCAAAGGCCAGGCACAAAGTACCAACCTAGCTTTAACCATTGTAGCCCAAAGACTCCAATTCCTTGCGCACCGAGTCTTCGGTCTGGATCTTCTTCATCTGCGTATCCTCCAGCTTCTCCCCACCGGCAAGGCGCATTTTCAGCTCTTCGATTGCCCGGATCTTCTTCAGAAGCCCACGGATCTTCTTGTCCTGCGCAGTGGGTGCTCCGCTGGCATCCAAAGCAGCCTCCGCCTCCGCAACGCTGTCGATGGCTTTGGCTTGAGCATTGGCCTTGGCAGATGTTCCATTGGCTTGCTGGTTGTTCTTGCGCTCGTTGTTCTGGCCCTTGGACCGGTTGCGCTCGTGAGCCTTGTCGCCGCGGCGGTCGGGGCTGCGGGTCGACTGGCCGACAGCCTGCTCACCCTCACCCTGCTCATCCTTCTGCTTCTTGGCCTCACGCTTCTTCTTGTTGCGGGCGGCCGACTTGGACAGCTTCTCCGGGTGCTCAACGCCCGGAGGCAGAGCCACGCCTCCACCAGGAGCGGCTCCCGGAGGCAGGAACTCCTCGGCAGGTTCGGCACCAGGCACATCACGTCTGCGAGAGCGACCGAATCCGTTCACAATACCACCGGTAGGCGCGCCTTCCCGGATATAGGCGGCACCGCCCTGATCTTCACGCTTGAAAGCGAGAGGAGTGAGCTGACCGCGAGCGCCGGGAGGACGGTACGCACCGGCGGGCTTGACAGGAGCCTTCTTGGTGCTGAGGTAGGCCACGGCAGAGGGGTGAGGGGTAGGCAGAGGGCTGAAAGGGTCACCCAATGGGTGCTGCTCCAGAGACTGGGGGCGCCAGAACACATCATAGAGCTCGGTCATCTCCTCATTGTACATCAGAGCGCCGCTCACGTGCCAAATCCGAAGTCCGTTGTCCACCCGCAGACGGGGGCTGGTCGTGGCCGTTAGAATGAACTGACCGTCGGGAGACCAATTGCAGACACTGGAGTTAGAAGCCTCCACAGTGGCGATCTTGTGGTAGTTCTTGTCCATGTCGTAGAGATCCATCTGACCCGCAAGGTTACCGAAACCAGCCACAAGGACGAACCGGCCATGGGGAGAGAACTGGATGGTGTTACGAGGGCCGAGCGGGAAGCTGTGCTTGGGGACACCGCGGAAGTTGAAAATGGTGGTTTTGGCCGGCATGTAACCATAGACCACACCAAACTCCTTCGAGTTGGGAGACCAGGTCACATCGTGGATAGGGCCTTCCTTGTCTATGGCGGCAACGTTAGTACACACTTGTCTGACTTTATAACACATGCACCAGTTACATACCCAGATCCACACGTGAGTCGAAGCCACCACCTGCACTGAGCAAGTAGAGGGTGGTCTCGCCGTAGTAGCTCTTGCCCGAGCGATCGACATCCGTCTGGGCCAACACAATCAAGGTTGTGCCCTGCTCGTTCCACTTCAGCTGGACCTTGTCACCCTTGAAGAAAGTCTTCTGCGAGACAGGAGCTCCAAACTGAGGCACCAAAAACACCTTGACTGCGGCAGGTTGTCCCTAGAAACCCAATGTCAGGATACAATCGACGCGGCTGGCCAACGAGTTCTGCATGCATACCTTGCGCTCCGGAATGAAGACAGCAATGGAAGTGTTCTTGCCAGGCGAGATGGCGAAATCAGCGACCCCCTCAACTCGCAGCTTGTTCCAGACCTGAGAGAGGTTCTCGCTCTGGTAGAACTGGACCTCATTGGTGACGACGCGCGCGCAATGACGCTCATCGGAGGTGTACTGAAGGTTCCAGCCCGTCTGCGACTTCTGGACGAAGCTGCCCACAACTACATTCTCATCTCCGCTGGACACGACCTGCCAGACCTTCAGATTCTTCACAGCATCGCCATTGGCATCCTTGGTGGGACGTTGCCAGGTGATCAGATAGGTTCCAAGCGGCGAGAAACCCAGCTCGAAAACGTTCTCCGCGGTAATGGTGGAGACAATGTGTCCGACGGACGGATCGATGATTGTCACCCTAAGATATGGTCAGCCACGCTGTTGTTTGGCTGCTATGCAGGAGAGCTAACATACTTATCGGGAGAGGCCCAGGCAAAATAGCGACCGCAGGGAGAGTAAGCGCTACAACGGAGGTTTCCCTCAGGCCTGCAACCACGAACCACAATCAGTGAGTTTTCTTAGAAGAGAACGGTGCCAATGGCCCTGGGTTGATAGGACATACTTCTCAAATCCAGACAAAGGTCCGTAGACTGGGGCCGCATCCAAGATGCCAACTCCCTTAACCGTACGGTCTATGACTGATTAGTGTTCTGTTCGATATGTTGTGGATCTGCAACTCGATCGACTGCATGAGGAGGGGTAGGGTTCGAGCGGGAAAGACCTACAAGCCAACTGTGTAGGGGCTGCCATTTTCAACGATGTCTTATATCGGACGATACACGGAATCGCAAATTCACGAAGCTAGCGAAAGACGCGCGCCGAAAGTCGCACTGATAGTTCAAGAAATCTGACAAAATCCTCTGAAATCCAAAGTGTGGACGAAACAATGCCCGCAATTTAAACGTGGAACGGACAGGCCGATCGATGGTGGCAGAAGATGGGGATGAAAGACAAGTCGATCGAATCGCGAAGGATCGAATCCGAGGATGTGTTGCTACTAGTGCAGTAGCCGGAGAAGCAGGTGGCAGAGTGAACAAAGCCGCGACGAGGACGTTTGAGGACGTTTGAGGACGTTTGAACTGAGGCAGTGAAGAACAACAGGCACGCGCGCACGCACACAACAGACAGGCACAAAGACCGTAGAGACTGGGCGGGTCAAGCTTGGCAAGTAGATGGGAGGTTAGATCTTGCGCTGTGAAAAGTCCCAGAGTATTCCTTGTGCTTGACAAGTCAATGCCAGCTGGTGAAGATGGACAGGGAAGACTGAATTGGAACTGATTGAGAACGAAGACGAAGAAACGAGAAGAGGAGGAGGAGGTAGGGAGTAGAAGTGGGGAGAAGAGGAGGAGGAGGAGGAGAGAAGAAGAGGACAAGGTGGGGGGG